GGACTATGACTGGACGAGGCAAGCAGCGGGACACGCATTGCCTGACCTCGTCCAGGAAAACCTCGAAAGACGCGAGGGGCCAGCTCGGAGGAGCATAGATCCCCACCACCGCGGTGCCTCCCCAGTCAACTGCTATGTATCCCCGCCCACGCTCCAGCAACGCACAGGGCGGGGATTCCAGTCGACTTCCCCAAATAATTGTGACGGAGCCCCCATCGTCACCGAACCAATTAGGGTGGTCCGGGACGTGATGGGGCTCCGCCACGACAGCAAGGCCTGAATTCCGCTCGACCAGGGCCTGGGCTAGCAGGTCTTGGGCCCGGGCCGAGTGGTTCAGGTTTGCCTGGAGGATGGAGCCCTCGGGCCCCGTCCTATGCAGTTTCCATGGGGCCCAGGGCCCCACCATCCTTGGCACTTACCGTAGGTGTCTGTGAATCCGCAGCACCGGCTCCGGAAACGGGGGATGCAGCATTTCGTGCTGCCACGACAGGGGATGCAGCAGCGGCAGTATCAGCAGCAGCGGGGGCTGCAGCCGGGGTGGGATCCTGGCTGCTCTCCGTCACCGCAGCTATCCGGCCACGGGTCCCTCGTCGTCGCTTTTGCCCGGCTCCAAGCCCGGCGCTGGCAGCAGAGCATGCCTGTGTGCCCAGCCGGTGAGTTGCCGGTTTGCCCTGGTCCGAGCAAACCAGACATTTAGGCTGGGCGGTGCATGTGCTGGCTCGGTGACCTGCTTCACCGCACATATAGCACCGCCCAGACCTATCCACGGTACTTGTGCACCGCTGCCGCACATGCCTCAATTCGAGGCAGCGGTAACACTGCAGCGACCGTGCCTTTAGGGCGTCCACCAGGACCCGTGTCCACCCAACGACCAAATGCCCGGCCAGGGCGATTTTCCTCCCCGCGGCTGCAGGGCACCGAACCCAGAGGGTGCCAAGGCCAACCGGGTTATGCCTGATTTCACCGGTCCTTACTTCACCGGGCAGGCAGCCGCCCGCGGAAGCCATAGCGGCCACGACCTGCTCCACTGTGACTCCGCCCCCCTGGCATGACGGCCCGTCGTTACATCGACGAAGTGGTGGTGCCGCACGTCGTGCCGCTTCGAGAGGAATACGGTCCTGCCTTCATCTTCCAACAGGACAACGCGGCGCCACACACCGCCAGAATCACGCGTGCCGCTCTGCTGGAAAATAATATCAATCTTCTCCACCACCCTCCCTGCAGCCCCGACTGCAACCCAATCGAACATCTCTGGGACGAGGTTGACCGCCGGATGAGGACTGGACCGCAGCCGCGCAACGTCAGAGAGCTCCGGACCGCTGTTCAGGCAGCATGGGATGCCATCCCCTTTGAAACTGTGAATAAACTAATAAGAAGCATGCCGTCCCGCTGCCGTGCTGTCCAGAAGGCCCGTAGGGGCCGAACCCTCTACTGATTTTGTACATTTCTTTTTATTTTTTATTTATTTTTTAATAAAGTATCTTTTTTCCTCACCTTTTTTATTTCATTTTTTTCTTGTACTGAAAAGTGCCAAATTTTTTG